CCCAACTCTATCATAGTCGAATCCAGCCAGACACGGACCCAGACTAAGTCCAAACCAACCCTTGCCAATAAGGACGGCAGGAAAGTCAACACCATGTCCAAGCGGATATATTCCCTGCAGGCTTTCTTACTTAAGACCGTCGGTTATCAAGTGACCATGGGTGCCTTCCAGCGTCACCTCTGGAACCAAGTTCTCCCCTTCATTGAGGCTTCTCCTGAACCCATGAGATCTGATCTCATCAATATACATTCACAAGCTATTTCTCTGGCCAAGTACCAAAGAATTACAACGCATCACTCTGCTGAGGCGGCCGTGAAAACACTGGTCACTGCTATCTCCATTCGATGCCATGCCTGGCTTAAATCTTTCACCATTTCTGATGACACCAAGTCATGTATTGAGGACTTGCCCTTTGATGGTGCCGGCCTGTTCAACTCCACGACTGACGATACCATTGAGAACTTTCATAAGAAGTGCAAGACTGTGTGTTCTTATTCTACTCAGCTGTCTTCCACTTACCAATGGCCTTTCTACCCAATTTCAGTCTCGACAATATCAAACCCAGAGATATCAACCCTACAGGCAGTATCGCCCTAATCAACCTGACAGGGCTCTACCTGCCCCACAACCTCTCATGGCACCGTACCGTCCTCAGATCCTACCTCACCAATGCCAACCATATCGCAAAGGGCAGAGAAAGGGTAAGCAATACTGACAATTATCTATACCTCCCTTTTCCGACGTTCCTTCCTGCCCAGTGAACTCGACCAGGTTGGCTCCATTCTTCCATCATTGGCAATCCATCACTTCAGAGAAATGGGTTCTATCCATCATATTCTCTGGATACCTTATAGAGTTCTCCAAGCTACCTCCCTTGGGACTCATTCGATACACCCCCTATTCTTCTGCGTTGAAGGGCGAAGTCACTAAACTTCTCCAAAAGCATGCCATTATACCAGTCCCCGCCTTGGACTCTCTTAAGGGCTTCTATTCGAAGTACTTTACTGTCCCTAAAAAAGATGGAGGCCTCTGCCCCATCCTTGATCTCACTCATCTCAACCATTTCATATCCCCTCGCAAGTTTCGCATGCTCACTCTGGGTGCTATTATCCCTTTGCTTTCTCAGGGAGACTGGTTCATAATCATCGACCTCCAGGACGCCTACTTTCACATTTCCATCCACCCGGATCATCAAAAATTCCTCCGGTTCCATTTCAACGGCACCGCCTTCCAATTCTGTGCCCTCCCGTTCAGGCTCTCCACCGTCCCACGGACTTTCACGAAGTGCATGGCACCAGTAGCCACCTTCCTTCGGCTACAGGGAGTAAACATCTATCCTTACATCGACGACTGGTTGATAGTAGCGGCATCGTACCACGACGCCATAACAGCTCGAGACATAACTCTCCATACTCTGCACAATCTCGGCCTCAAGGTCAAACGCGAGAAGTTGCATTTCACCCCGTGACAGACGGCCAAGTTCATAGGCATGGAGGTGGACTCCGTTCAGGCAAAGGCATGCCTGCCGCTGGACAGGATCGAGAAAATCCAAAAGGCCATCCGCCCCTTTCAAACGCGCCACTATGTCTTGGCACATCACGCCCAGCACCTCCTAGGACTTATGGCATTGACAACAGCCGTCGTACAGCACACCAGGCTCAAAATGAGACCCCTACAGGCGTGGTTCCTTTCCCTCTTCAACCCTTCCACAGACCCCCCCCCATCGGCTCTTTTCCCAGTCACACTGGCACTAGTCGCTCAACTCGACTGGTGGTTCCACTCACACAACCTGCTGGTCGGCAGACCTTTCTCGCCTCTAAGACCTTCCATACAGGTCACTACCGACGCCAGCCCCACGGGGTGGGGTGCCCATTGCCTTCAATACACAGTTCACGGGCTTTGGTCCAGCCGAGAGCGGTTTCTGCACATAAACCACCTAGAACTATTGGCAATCATCAAAGCGTTCCATGCCTTTCTTCCCCTCATCAAGAGCCAAGTCGTGCAGCTAGCGACGGACAACACCACCACACTCTTCTACGTTAACAAGCAAGGGGGCACCCACTCCCCCTCTCTGCTCTACCTGGCTGTTACCCTCTGGGAATGGTGCTACTTCCACCATGTTTTCCCCATTGCTGTCCATATTTCCACGGACGACAACACCCTGGCGGACCAATTGAATCGCTTACCTGCCAGGATGCACGAGTGGTCTCAACGATGTCGTGTTTCGCCAGCTATGCCGACGGTGGGGCACTCCTTCAATAGACCTCTTTGCAACCGATGCCAACAAGAAGTGTCCCCGATTCTGTTCCAGAGCGGGGCAGAACAGCAACTCTCTGGGAGATGCATTCCTAATGGACTGGTCCCGAGACCTTCTCTACATATTTCCTCCTCTGCCTCTCATCCAGAGGGTAATCATTCGCATTTGACAGGACAGGGCCAACACGATCATCATAGCCCCGTACTGGCCTCGCCAGCCGTGGTTCACTCACTTGGTCTTGATGTCATCAGACATGCTCCACCTTCCTCTCCACCCGGATCTCCTGTCGCTCGACCACGGCCTCGTTCTTCACCCAGACATCGCCTCTCTCAGCCTCG